ATAGAGGCATTTTAAATCTTTTCCACACTATTGCAATATTTTAAACAATGTTTCTAAATTCTAAACCCTCCAAAAGAGTACAGAATGTCATGCTTTCCCTCTCTCTGCCTCAGCTGCTCTCAGCCACCTGCAAGCATTCTTGGCCACACCCACTTCTCAGTATGCATGGAGAACAGCTGATCAGCTACAGAAGGAAGCTTATCCTGCAGTGTGGGCTGCACAGAGGTGCAGCAGGTGCTAAATAATTTAAAATAATTTATTTTAAATAAAAATTCCATGACATTCATTTGGCTCATCCATTAGTCAGCCAATTGTGTGTCATGTCCAATCTTATTTTGAAACACCACAATAGAGCGAGTCCATGAAAAACGAACCATGAAGTAGCGAGGGACTACTGTATTATGCTGTTTTATGTTCATTAGTTCTGGTGGCTATTTTGAATCTGGCTGACTTAAAAATGTAATTAACTGTAGATGTACATCAAGTGATTACTTTCTGAGAATGTCATTAAAATTCATCTACTGGCTCATAAGATATATTGCTACCAGACAGTGTTTTTTTCTAAAAGTAGTGGCAAACATTAAAGCAAAGATGTGTTGGGTATGACTCTCAGTTAGTACAACACCAAATTTTTGCTTCACCAATACCACCCACATTTTGATGTTGTCGGTAACAGGAGTTGAACCAGCGATCTTCCGATTACAGGCCCATCTTCTCTAACCTCTGCGCCACCACTCCCAAAAGACCAGTGTGGATTGCGGCTGCCTTAAACAACTAGCGCCAAATCACAATAAAGTTGTCTCAGGGCACTTTACAGAAACATTCACATACATAAAAGCCAATTAGTAAAGTTCTCTATCTAAGGAATTCAGCAGACAAGTTGAGTCTTGGCTTTGTTGCAGTCTCCCATCCTGAGCAAGCACAGTGGCAACAGTAGAAAGGAAAAACTCCCTTTTTAAAAGGAAGACACCTCCATCAGAACCAGGCTCAGGACAAGCGGCCATTTGCTTTGACCGGCTGGTTTGAGAGGACAGGAAGGAGAGACAGATGGACACAGAATGGTAGGTCCAGATATAGGTCCAGGTGTATCTGAAAGACAAAAAAACACATGTTAATGATAGAAAAAATAATTACAAATACAAAACAGGTTGAGCAGAGTAAGTAAAGACAGCAGCAGAGTGAAAATTGTGGTCAGTTTGTCTGCCAGCAGTAAGCCTATAGCAGCATAACTAAGGGACAGCTCAGGAAACCCAAGCCGACCCTAACTATAGGATTTATCAAAAAGAAAAGTCTTAAGCCTAGTTTTAAAACTGGATAAAGTGTCAGCTTCACGGACAGAGATTGGAAGTTGTTCCACAAGAGAGGAGCCTGATAACTGAAAGATCTGCCTCCCAGTCTGCTTTTGTAAATTCTAGGAACCACAAGTAAACCTGCTGCCTGAGAGCCAAGTGCTCTGTTAGGAAAATATGGAACAATAAGATCTGTAATATAAGATGGAGCCAGGTTGTTGAGAGTTGTGTAGGTTAGAAGTAAGATTTTGAATTATATTCTGGATTTGACAGGGAGCCAATGGAGAGAAGCTAAAACTGGAGAGATATGATCTCTCCAATTAACTCCAGTTAAGACTCTGGCAGCAGCATTTTGGATCAACTGAAGATGTTTTAAAGAAGTATTTGGACATCCAGATAATAAACAATTGCAATAGTCCAGTCTAGACGTGACAAATGCATGAACCAGTTTTTCTGCATTATTTTTAGATAAGATGTTTCTAATTTTAGTGATATTACGCATGTGAAAGAAAGTAGTTCTAGTAACGTTTTTAATGTGGGGGATAAAAGACATGTCCTGATCAAAAATAACACCAAGATTTTTAACATTAGAGCTAGAGGACAGATTAATGCCATCTAAGGAGGGAGAAAGACTGAAAAAAAATAATTCCTATGGTGCTCATGTCCAAAAACCATAACCTCAGTTTTGTCTGTGTTCAACAGGAGAAAATTAAGGGTCCTCCAGGTTGTTATGTCTTTAAGACATGCTTGTAGTCTAAGTAGCTGATTGGATTCATTGGGTTTAATGGACAAATATCATTGTGTGTCATCAGCATAACAATGACAGTTTATCCCATGCTGTTTAATAATTTTACCTAATGGAAGCATATATAAAGTAAAGAGTATTGGCCCAAGCACTGAGCCCTGAGGAACTCCATGACTAACTTTGGTGTATGAAGATTTATTATTTACATTTACAAACTGGAATCTATCAGATATATATGATTTAATCCATTTTAGAGCTGTTCCTGTAATCCCAATATCATATTCAAGCCTCTGTAGTAAAATATTGTGATCAACCGTATCAAATGCAGCACTGAGGTCTAAAAGGACCAGTATAGACACAAGTCCATTGTCTGAGGCCATGAGGATATCATTAGTGACTTTTACTAGTGCTGTTTCTGTGCTATGATAAGCTCTAAACCCTGACTGAAACTCTTCAAACAGATTATTTCTTTGTAGATGTTCACACAACTGACCTGCAGCTATTTTCCCTAGAATTTTTTAGATGAAAGTTAGATTAGATATAGGTCTATAATTGGCCAGCATTTCTGAATCAAGATCAGACTTCTTAAAGGTTTAATTACAACAACCTTAAAGCACTGTGGTACATAACCATTCATTAAAGACAAATTAAGTAGATCCAAAATGTGAACATTAATTAAGGGAAATACCTTTTTAAACAGTGTGGTTGGGATGGGATCTAGCAGGCATGTGGGTGGTTTGGATGAGGTTATTCTTTTTGACAATTCAGAGAGTTCAAAAGGACAAAAAACTGTCCAAACATAAATCAGGCTCTAGTGAAATTTTTTAAGTTCATTCACCTCATTTGACAGGGGACTAGAAATAGTAGAAGGAAAGATGGTTTGAATTTTCTCTCTAATTGAAATAATTTTATTTATAAAGAATCTCATGAAGTCATCACTACTTATAGTTGTAGAGATGCATGGTTCAATAGAAATTGAACTTTTAATTAGTTTAGCAATAGTACTAAACAGAAACCTAGGGTTATTTTTATTCTCCTCTATTAAAGATGAGTAATATAAAGTTCTAGCTTTATGGATAGCTTTTTTATATGTTAGCAGACTATCTTTCCAAGTTAAATAAAATTCTTCAACATTAGTAGAGCGATTAGAAACACGAACGGGTCGGTGGTGAACTGGGGGCTTAGCCTTAGCACTACGCTTGCTCCGGACCGTCACCCAGCCGGCCTGGGGTTCCAGCTGCTCGGGGTCTGCTGGAGGACCACTAACGGGAGCTAGCCTCTGTGGTTCCGCGCTGTCTAAGGGGACCTGGCTAGCTACTGGTTTTTCTACAGCACGGAGCCGAGCTTCCAGTTCAGACAGCCTCTCCTCCAAAGCTACCATAAGACTACATTTGTTACATGTATCATTACCACTAAAGGAGGCAGAGGAGTAACTAAACATCTGACACATGGAGCAAGTGAAAACAGAGGAAGTAGGGAGAGAAGCTGCAGCCATGCTAAGCTAACTCTAGCAAGAGCTAGCAGAGCCAAATACACCAATAAAAACCAAGAAGTGTTGAAAGATAAGAGGTGTTTTAAGCACTATCCAACAGTAGAAAAACAACTATACTAAGTGTGTTTGTGAACTAGATTGAAAAACTGTGCAAAAGACAGATAAATCCAGAAAACAGAGATGACTCGGGCAAATAATTCGCTCAAACTACCAACTGACAAACAGGAAGTAACACAATACGTCTCACCACGAACGTGCAACGTCAGCCAGCAGGAAGGTCCAAGTCTTTTAAAGAAAAATTCATTTGTTCAAGTGAATACTATTAAATTAACCATTGCACTTCCAGTAATTTTGTTTTGCCAGTTGTTCAAAGAACTATCTATGGCAGGTAAGATTTTAATTGTTTAAAACCGTTCTACAGAATTTCAGTCAAACACTTTGACTATTGTTTTCAGATGAATGCAGACCTGTGTGTGCATGTGTCTATATCTACCTGTTTTTACTTTGTCCTTATAAACCTAATTGCATGTCAATTCCCACCTAATTTTCAATAAAAACGCTCTGATTCATAAATCTCAGATGATCTACATTGTATCATGAACCTTTTCTGTTCATTCTTGTTCTATAATCCACACATTCATAAACTGATAAGAAGACTATTTGTTTGAAGTGTTTTTTATTATTTTTCTTGTCAAGTCTTTTGTCATCTTTTAATTCCCTCCTCCCTGTACACCCCACCATTCCTGCCTCTCTCCCCTGCTCCCCTCCCCTCCCATTTCCCACATTCTTTGGTGAGTGGGTGGAAAGTTCAATGGGAATGTGGGATCCCAGCAGGGCAGTGGGGGGAGTTTCCTCTTACAAGAGCACAGTATGCATGCAAAACTAAATTCATATTCACTGATCCAATCCTCTCTCTTTGTTCCGTCACAAAGAAGTCAGCAGTTGCCCACTTCTGCCATGCATTGTCTTGGTGGAATGGTTATGGCACAAAAAAGTGAAACATCTGTAAAAACCACAAATTTATGTAATTTAAATGTCTGGCATTATCAGAGTTGGTGATAGAATAAATGTGTCATTTTGAGCTCAGGGAGGCATTTGTTTTCTGACACACTTTACTGGAAGTGTGGAGCTCACCCTCTTCACCTTTTGTTCCACAGTTCACAAAGACAGAGGCTGACAACAGTAAATGAGAGAAGGACCTCTGC